ATATATATATAATAATTATTCTAAAAAGAAAACTAATTATTATATATATATATATATATATATATATATATATAAATATATTTAAATATAATTCAGAGTTTTATCATAATCTATCACGATTTTTTTATTATATCGTGATATAACACCGAAAAATATTACAATAATTGAATATATAAATGAAATAAATTTTTTTATACTTAATTCAATTTTAGAGAAATATAGTTAAAAAATGTATACAATGCACAATAAATTTCAGAAATAATATGTATGTAAAATCAACATCACATAAACATTCACTTCATCTATCATAACTCTATTTGAACAAAAATTATAAAATCGTATGAAGCTTTGATAATCCCATTGTTAAAATCGTCATTATGACTTCAACCGTTGCTACCACTACTGTCACGTCATTGACGTAAAAAGTTATGTTAAACCAACACTATATTCATCTAATAATATATATATAGCAAAAAAACTGAATAAATAGTTTCATATCTATTATATTCATACTCAGATTGAAATGTCTCTTTTAGTTTAATCCGTTTACTTGGTCTCATACTTTCGATCAGATCACGAATCATAAAGCACGACTGAATCAAAATGAACATTGTTTCGCTCACCCGTATGAAAGATCAATTTGATGAAATTTCGGTCGTTTCGATTTTCTTATTTGTACCATATATATATTCTTTGAATAAAACTCGTTGCGATTCATATTGTTTATTCACCGATATTAAAACTTCTAAATTCACGATAAATACTAAGCTTCAAAATTGCTTTCTGCCAATGGCAGTCTGCCATGTTCGAACTGGTACGAACAAGAAATTTTCAATGATCTTCTTCGAATATTCGATGTACAGACATTAATACTCATAAGTACCGAATGAGGGCAGCACGTACTTCTCGGATTCACATATTGAAAATTTGCGTTGAAAATCACAGATATCATGTAACACGCGTTTGAATTCTAACCTTACGTAGGAATCAATAGCTTATAGTGTATTTAATTAATAGTATCTTATATCAAATGTGAAATTTAATTTTATTGTTTACATCTTTGAAAGAGAATTGAGTGAGAATTGTTTGAAATATTCAAAATTGTTATATTTAGTTATGAAATGAATGATACTACTATATTACTATACCATTCTACTTTAAATATTTTGCATTTTTTAAATACATTTATTTTTCATTTTCATTTGTATATTATATAAATCTATATAATTATCAGTGAATAGTAATAAGTTCTTTCTTTTTAAAGAAAAATTTGTTTCTTATATGATACTAAATTTTAATATTGTACAGAGAAAAATTTATTTGTAATTTGTAATACAAACACTTACTTAAAATATTATATATATATTTAATTTATAAAAGAAATGATAAATAATCTAAATATTGATAAATAGACTATATAAAAAAATATAATATTTAATATAATAATTAAATATATAAAAAATTCATATTTAATTCAAAAATAATAAATATTCATTTCAAACTCAGAAATGTTTTTCAGTATAAATTGTTTTACGTTGTTAAAAAATTCTAAGAAGAAATTTCATTAAAATGAAATGTGTAAAAAATTTATTTGTGACATAATTTTTTATTAATAATTCCAAAATTTCAATGATTGTGCTATTTATTAAGATTAGATATTATTATATATAAATATATACATATATTGTATATATTATACGTATATAAATTAGTACATAAATATTTTATTATGTATATTAATTTTGAAATAAATTTGCAAATATAAAACAATGTAAAAATTATATTTAAATTAATATAATTTAATTATACAATTAATTTCAAGTGATATAAACTTTATACGATTTTTTTCGATATAGCAAATTAGCGATCAATTTCTATAATTGGTGTATATTTAAAATATAAGTTATGGCGAGTACAACTTTACGAATTTTTACCAAAAATATATCTCCACATGTGAAAATTCGTTTTGAACAAGTTCGATGTGGACATCATTTGCGAGGAAAACCACCGACAATCGCTCTCACTTTGCAGAAACGCCTCGAATGTAAAAAAAAAAAAAAATATTAATCAATTCATAAAATATTATTGTTTCTCATAAAATATTTTTTTTTTGCAGTGCTTAAAAAAGAATCACCCAAAGTAAATATAGGATTTTTTGTCCCAAAGATTACTAAAGAAAAAAAGGAGGCTATGATGGCTGAACGAAAGATCAAACGAGCCGACGTGAATTTTGAAATAAAAATAAGAAGTGGAAAGAGTAAATAATACATTTTAATAATATAATAATACTAATACGTATAATATAATAATACTAATATTTTAATTATTAAAAATCCGATGATATAATATTCATACTTAAGTTATGTTTTATGACTACATTTGACTATATATATATATATATATATATATATTTTATAGTATCTCTGAATTTGGAAGAAGTAAAAAAACTTTGGTTGGAAATATCTAGTCCATATGATATTCATAAAATTGCAACTCATTATGGCATTTTTCAAGACTTATTTGGAGATGCTTTCTTTTTTCCCGTTGTACCACTTGAAATCAATTATAAGATAGATGATGATACTTCAGTTAAAGTTTATACAGGAAATGTTATAAAACCTGCAGAAGCATCTGAAATGCCATACGTTAAATATAAAGCTGAAGATGATACTTTATGGACATTAGTTATGTGCACACCAGATGGTAATTTAGAAAATTCAAACAATGAATATTGTCATTGGTTTTTGTGAGTCAATTATTTACTTATTATTTATTTTAATTTGAAATAATGTTATAAAACTAATATAAGATATTACTATTTTACTTTAGAGGAAATATTCCAGGGAATAAATTAGAATTGGGTGAGCAAATAATAGATTATATGAAACCATTTCCAGCTAGAGGTGTAGGTTATTATCGTTATATATTTATTCTTTACAAGCAAAATCAACGATTAGATTATATAGAATATAAAAAGGATCAACCTTGGTAAGGAAAAATTATATATATAATTGTTTCTCATCATATCATTATTTTTTATTTATTTAAATCGATGTTTTTCAGTTTAACGTTAAAAGAACGTAATTGGAATACGTTAGAATTTTATCGTAAATATCAAGATTATCTTACACCAGCTGGTTTAGCATTCTTTCAAAGCGATTGGGATCCTACAGTAAAAGAGTTTTATCATTCAGTATTAAGTGCGTATAGTCGATTTCATTATTTTTAATATATTATTTTACTATTTAATGCGCCGTTATATGTATATATTGAAAAATTTTACTTACAGATACCAAAGAGCCAATATTTCAATATGATTTTCCAAAATTATATGTTAAACCACAAACATGGTTTCCGATAAAAGAACCATTTAATCTTTATTTGGATAGATATAGAGATCCTAAAGATATAATGAAAGAATATTTATTAAGAAGATTACGAAATATTCATCCTTTCAAAGAACCTGATCCACCTCTCGAGTATCCCAACGCTGTTAGGTTCGACAAGTACCTACCTTCCTGGTTGAAAATACAAATTCGAAAGGAACGATTAAAATGGGGCCGAATTAATGATCTCTGAAATCAAATATTTTATAAATAAGAAATTTGATAGCTTAAGTGAATTGTAAAATATGTTTTTGTAAATAAATAAACGGAGAATATCATGAATGAAAAAAATATAGAGGAAGCATTGATTTCATACACACTTTATTTAAACATAGATGTTGTAATTAACTCATTCTTAGTATAGTTTCATCATTGTAAATTAAAAGAGAAAGAGGAGAATCATTCTAATCTTAAATAAGCTTCTACAGCTTGTTTGCTTCTTAATTTAATCTCTGCTCGTGTTGGTACTAAAGTATCAATCGCTTGATGTTCAACGATGAGACCTGAGAAAAAAAAACATAACGAAAATATTGTTACTACATTACTATTGTATATTACGATTGTATATTAAATAGTAAATAGTTTAAACATTCCTTGTAGTATATTCATCAATCATTTGATTTATGCTTCTTGATAATTAATATTTGATTTATCCAAAAATGCTTACCCGGTGGTTCTACCTCCTCTTCTTTGAACTTAACATTCGAGCGATAATTAGAAACATAAGTTTGATATAGATCTCTTGCCCTCTCTTCTCTATCTTTGTCAAATTCGAAATTGCTCATTCCAAATAATTGTCCTACTTTTCGACTAACGTTAGACAACAATGCTAAACCTAGGAAAAAAGTAACAAGAGAAATGTGCAAACATTCAAAAAATTTATAATTGAATGTAATTGAAACCCCCCCCTCCCCCCTCCCCCTCTTTTTATCTTACTATCTGTCTCCATTTTTTCCATCATCGGAATGTCAATTTTTTTGTCTAGCTCTTCCGTTGGTTTCTTCGTAGGTACTTTGTTACCTCGTTTCACACAAACCAACATTGCCACCATATTTTGTAATGCCGCCCTTATATCCATTAACAATTCGCCATGTTCTTTTTTCACATTTTTTTTCTCAAGTTCACGTTTTTTTTGCATAGCAATCTGTTCTAACAAGATATTTTTATCCGCATTATATCTAAAAGAAAGTTCATATTGTTCATACTAGAATGAATTAGACACGAACAAAATTGTTATGATTATCAAACATATTACATACTCTTCGACACCAGCTACACGAGTGTATTCAAAATTGGATAGAGTAGATAATGCCTCTTTTTTTTTAAGCAACAATGCATCACGTTCTTTCACATTGCGATCAAATTGTTCCAGAAGTCGTGTTCGTTGTTTCATTTGATCTTCCAATCTTAATATGATTGAAATAAAAGTTTAGAATAAGAAAAGGCTGAACTTCATCGTTAAATTTTACGTTTAATAATCGAAAATCGCTGTATCAAAAATTATATTAAGCGTTTAAAACTGTGTATTTTACAGTTCATTTTGACACCATGATTCGTTTCGATATAATTTATTAATTAATTTCACGCGCAATCGAATGTTTAATGAAACAAGTGGTTACACAAACGAGATATATTGTTTACAGTATAAACAAATCTTCATAGTGATAAAAAAACAGATGCCCAAACTGATTATATATATATATTTTTTTTAAATTAAAAATTACTGCAAATTATTGCAAAGAAAGCTATATTCATGAAATAATAAATCATGGTGTTAAATTTGAATTATCTAAATTTTGCAATACTTGAAAGTTTATTAATCCTATCCTTTAGACAATTAAGATCGATATTGAATTAGATTGGAAAAGAATAATTTATAAACAAAAATCAATTGAATATTTAATAACAAGTGTTAAATAGGATTTATAAAAATTGTTGCAAAAGATTGAATGAGAGAAGAAATCAAATTTTATAATAAAGATTTTGTGGATATTTATTATGATATTTCTATAAAAAAAATAAAAATATGAATGATTTGATGTCCCGTTGATTAAGTTAAATTTGATGTGAAAAAATTATAAGAAGTCAATTTAATTTGACAAGATAAATAAAGTTGTTTTCTGTTTACGAAATATCCATTCAAATTATCTGTCAAATTAATTGTTCAAAATAAATACACAACTGTTAACTTGATTTTGATCGAGGACGAGGCTAATGGCGCCAAAATAAGCGATAAAATATACACTTTCAAACGTTCACAATTTTAAAAATTATGATTTCCAATCATTGAAAACTTATATTTCCCTACCATACTTATAATATATATATACTTTCTTATAAGACGCCAAAAAAAAAAAAAAGCCAAAAATTTGATACTCGCCAAACGAAGTTCAACTGAAAAAAGAAATATTTTATGAGACTAAGAGACCGCATCATAATTTAGATCTCTAAGCTAGAGAATTATTTCGA